ATGGAACTGCTATATTTCTCAGGATGCATGTAATCAGCTTTCGACCAGAAGCTGATTCTCCCCCCCCCCCCCCCCCCTCCCTTCCTTTTTTACACACAAGTAATAGTTCCAAAACTGTATGATAGCTCAGCATGATAAATCCTGCTTGTAAACCCGGAGCCTTTTTCCCAAACCGGCGTGCCTGTGCAACTTGCACTGTAGTGCAAACAGACCCCCCCCCCAAAAAAAGAGAGCGAGCGAGAGGAAGGTAAAATGAATTTAAATTCCAAAGGGGTTTCAGAGCTGGTTTCCTAGTCCCCGAGTCAGCTATGTGTTTGTGAAAATTCAGCCTTTTTGTCTCTTAGAAAAAAAGGGCTAAATCTACATCGGTGGCCCAGTCTAGGTTTGCTATTCTTTGCATTTTCTATTCAAGTGAATGAGAGTGAATGAAGTGGCCTGGGACCCTTTATTTGATCTACTCAATTGCATAAAGTGACAGAATTCTAATATATTTGTTTAATGCTCTTCAATGGGGCTTTCACTTGCTAGCTTGCAAATGAAGCCTCGATCTGCAAAGTTTTGTCCTTTTTCTTTCTCCTTTTTTTTTTTAGCAGGGGGACATATTTCATAACTTGGGCCATGGTGTGAAGTGATCTCGAGAGGAGTTTTAGACTCGAAAAGTGGGAAATAAAGAAACAGATGTGAAGTTATTGTAAATTCCTATCGTGGGCTCTGGGGCTATTGTAAACCCACTGCAGGCGGTCCAAAGCCTCTCTTTTTCATGCTATAATTGAAACATATTAATTAGATAATTTGTTGTTAGTTTAAAAGAAACAAATACAGCCCCTCCAAGGCTTCACAGCCTGGATTCCTTTTTGCTGTTTTTTTTTTTTAAATCCAGCAAGTGACAATTATATTAAGATTTAAAGATAATTCTGCACAGAAATTTACAAAGATCTAAAGCTCCCGTTCTGTGCTAAGGAGCACTTAAAAAAAGGGGGGGGTAGGGGGTTGCTTGTAAAATCCCCTTACAGGGATCGCTGTGAGCTTCTTTTCACGCTACCTGGCAAGATTTCTCAAGACACGATCAGAGGCCATACTTAAAAACTGTGGAAAGAAAATAAATATTCTTTAGTGTCAGAAGGATCCTGGCTCCTTTCAATAGGGTGACTCGGTCCCATTGGGTTGGAGTCTGCTCTCACAGCGGACAAAAATAAAATATAGCCACTAGAATGTATCCAGACCTTTTGCATTGAAATGAAGCAAAAATCCGAGTGGCCAAGCACGACTGGGTTTTTGCTCGCTTGCCTTACACTCTGGAGTTGGAATACACTCTCCTATTAAAAAAAAAAAAAAAGCTGTCTGAAATTCCGTGTCACTTACATCAAAATACACTTAGTTTAAAATTTATCAGTGGCAAAAATAATTGCAAAGCACCCTTGAGTAAGGTCTCCAAACAAGATTCCAGCTCGGGAACCTGTGGTGTGTGTTTCATTTTTTCCCATTGTTGTCTTTTGCTGTTTTATTTCAGATCTGAGTTTATTGACTTTGGACTTGAGCCATTAGAGATTTAACAAGACAAAGCAGTAAATTCAAGGAACGCTCTGAATTGCTTATTTGTTGAGATAAGCATCTAAATCTTTACCAAGGAAAGAGCAAAAAGAATGCCTTGTGAGTTTCCTATTAAAATTTAAATCATCAGCACCCATTATGGTCTCTTTCTGGTAGCTTAATATGAAAGACGGTGCTGGACATTGCCAAGAAAACCGTGCATGTGGCAAAATGTAGTGATTGTTTACAGATGTAACAATTGCATTGAATAACATGATTAGATAAGAAAGAGAAATGATTTTAAAGGGTTTTTTTGCGATTCCTTTTCTAGTAGGGATTATATGGAAAACAGAATCATTTTTAAAGGTGTAACTTCTGTATGGTTTAAAATTACCCTGCAAGTGTAACTAGCTGCAGTCCCATCTTCTCAGTTGAGTTCAGATTTCATCTCTGATGATTTTTTTTTTTTACTGTTGGATTTTTTTTTTTAAGAACTCGTAGGAAAATGTAGGTCATCGCTTGTTTAGGAAAAGTTTGTCGAGTTTTGTGTCCATTGATCTGGTGATAAGTTTTGAATGCTTTCTTTAGCTGATCGTGTTGATATAATCGTGGGTTGGACTTGATGAATGAGTTCAGTTGTCCCCCATCTGACAAGCTTTAGCAGCTTCATGCATTTTAATCAGCCCAATGATTCATGTATTTTCCACCTTTTTTTTTTCCTGTGTGTGGGATCCGTTCTTAAAAAAAGAAAATCGCAAATGGATTAATTATACTCTACGTTAACCTTAAACTTTTGTCAAGTACCTTACTATATGTATTTAAGGGAGATAGGGTTGTCACTATCTCTCATATGTCTACATCTACAGACCCATAGAAATGTACCTCTTTAAAACCATTTACAATGTATTCTTGCATCCTGTAGGTTTATTAGAATACAATGTCGGTTTTCTTTTTAATAAGTATTTAAGTATCTCATTGTAATGTAACTACATTATTTGAACGGTCTCGCATCTGAAAGGCTAACACACTAGTTTTATTAGATTATCTCATGAATTTGAATAATGGATTCTCAATAATTCTGTAGAATCCTTGCAAAATCCTAAAAATAAATTTAAAAAGAAACGCACTGGAAACTCTGAAATCCAGATTTCAATGTAGTTTACCTTAATTTTCTTTGTATAAAATAATTATCTGTTGATTATAAAAGATAAAGAATAATACTGTATGTTACCATTTGTAATCTAGGTGTTTTTTTAAAAAAATGTTTAGTTAATATAGATTAAGAAAGAACAATAGCTGACAATTAAAATACTTTTAAGAGGTTTAACTCAAAGATAAAATAGAATGCAATGTTTTATATTAAGGTTTGGCAATATTTTGATCTGCCTCTTGCATTACAAAATTCTAATGCTTCTAGTCTTAAAAAGACATTCAGTCCTTTAAAGATGTTTTTAAGTCTGAGTTGCAATCTAGTATTTCAAAGGTTCGTTTATTGTTATAGTTATTCAAGAAAAAGTATTTATGCGTGTGTATTGTGTGCGTGCATACACACACACACACACAAATATATAGTTAGTATATAGGTATATAATGCACACACATATATAGGTATGAAAAGTGCACATATGTGTATGTGTACACACGTTATATATATTACATATGTTATATATACTAATGTAGTCTATGAACTGTAGCTTGATTTCCATTTGGTAGTCATGTGAGAATGACCATCTTACGTAGAAAGCTACTGTATTTTATTAAACAATTATATTTATAGATAATTCTCTTCCTCCTATGAAAAATGTATGTAGATAATCTAAAAATTGAAATATTGTATTTCCCCCTAAATTAATATTCTTATTTTCCTGGTACAAACTCTTCAAATAGACGAATAAGAAAGTAAATCTGAATTTACATATTTTAATGAGAAAATAGTATTTGGACGACTAGGTTCATAATTTAACATAGACACTTTCTTTTTTTTTTCTTTTTTTTTTTTTACTTTTGTCTTAAAACACGCATGCTGGTAACAAGAACATCAATATTTAAATGTCATGCTCATTCTGTACAAGGGAAAGAGTTAAAAAGGAATTTCTTTACAGCTGCGCTGAATACTACAACGTTTTGTTTTTGTCTTAACTTAAGCAGTTCACAACAGTTCGGTTTCCAGCAAACTACCTAAAACTAGAAAGGAATATAGCAAACAAAAGTGCATGTTACACATTTGATAATCATTCCTATTCACAGACATGTACAGTGTTCCCCAGTCCGCGCTCAGCTTGTCTGAAAAGTTCCAACAGAAAACAGGAATACCTCCCATAGTCTGAACCTGTTGTGATACTTCCCTACACTTCACCAGTGACTTGAGCAGCTTTACATAAGCTACCTTAGGTTGTCTGCTTGGTAGTGGATTTTTTTAAATTATTTTCTTAAATCATAAATAAATAGCTTTTTAAAAATCTAAGTAATCAGAAGGTTAACAGACAAATTAACTCCCCCTCCCTTCCACCTGAAAATTAAATATCCACATGACAACAGGTACTGCAAAAGAGGACCTCATTTGATTCACAGGACAGATTGAAGTTCAGTATTTACATTAGAACAGGAGTTTTGTAAACAATATACGTTTTCAGTGTGAACTGATGTCTTGCTATTTGCATGGTTTCCTGTCCTTTTGTACTTAATACACATTATTGTATACAAATCTGTATCCACTGTGTAACTTCCCCAAAACAAACTATTCGGAAGCCAATGGAACTTTTCAGCCATGGGATGGTAACTGGCTGGCTCTCAAGTTATGGGGACCTGTTTAATACTTTTATTGTAGTGCTGTGATATGTATGGAGATGAGATAGATAGATAGATCTATAATAGTACGTTTCATTTTAAAAAGTAATTCACGAGGGGTTCGTGTAGATCCTGCAATCTTTAAACTCTGTGTAAAAAAATAAATTTGAAACGAAACTTAAGTGTTTCCAAAATCCAGCTGATTTGTCACTTGGAAACTGGAAACATTAATTGTTTTCACGAAGCCATCTGCAACCACTTCAAACTGTTGATGGTTTTAAAGACAGGTCGGGTGGAAGAACGTTGCTCTTCCCAGACAAAGGAAGGAAAACGGGCAAAGTGTGACAGGGTTGTCTAACTCTCCAGCACTCATTTCGGGGGGGAAGGTGCCTTAAGTACCTTTGGAAACCTAGTGATGCAAATGGCACTTTATACACACACGGGGTGGGGGGAACTAGACACTTTTCGAGTGTTTAAAACTAAGTTAAGGAACAACCCCCAAACCGACAGGGGCTCGAGCCTTAAACAAGAGTACGCCAGAAAGGCAAAGCGAAGACCGCTCACAGGAATAGCAAACCTCAAGTGCTCCCGCCGGGAGTTTTCTCTCCTCTCGAGGAGCAAGAAAACGCCGAGGAAAGTTGGGAGCGAGCCGCGGGCGGAGTGTCCAGGCCGGGCTGGCCGTGTCAGTGCACGGCTACCGAGTGCAGGGCCGAGGCGGGGCTGGTCAGGGTCTCGCTGGGCGTCGCGGGGCTGCTTTGGCTGGTGGCTGTCTGGGACGAGGTCGGGCTGAGCGAGGGGGGCGAGTTCGAGAGGATGGTGGGGATGGGCGCCGGCAGGGCCGGCAGGGCCGGCACCGCCGCCGGGGTGGGTTTGATGGGCACCGGGATGGCTGGCAAAGTCTGGCCCCCGTGGCACAGGGGCTTGAGGGGCACCCCGTAGGCACTGTAATCGCTGCTGGCCATGGAGATGGGGGTGGCCGTGTCTATCATGCCGGGGCTGTACATGTGGGGCCAGCCGGTGCCAATGGAGCTGCCCACCGTAGTCAACTGGTTGGGGAGCGGGTAGGCGGCCGGCATGGGCTGCATGGCGGAGAAGGCCAGCCCGCCCGGCATCTTGTACTCGCGGGCGATGATGTTCTCGATGGCGAAGGGGTGCTTGAAGCCGGAGGGCTGCGAGACCCCCAGGCTGTAGCCGGACATCTGCGGCAGGTGGGGGCCGCCGGCCGCCAGGGCGCTGAGCCGCAGCTTGGCCTGCTGCTGCAGGTACTGGGCGGCGTCCGCGGGCTTGCTGGGGGCCAGGTGGTCGGACTTGAGCACCTTGAAGCGCTTGCGGCGCCGCAGGAAGCTGCCGTTCTCGAACATGTCCCCGCAGCTCGGGTGCAGCGCCCAGAAGCTGCCCTTGCCCGGCTGGTCGGGCCGGCGCGGGATCTTGATGAAGCAGTCGTTGAAGGAGAGGTTGTGGCGCAGGGAGTTCTGCCAGCGCTGCGTGTTCTCCCGGTAGTAGGGGAAGCGGTCCATGATGAACTTGTAGATCTCGCTCAGGGGCAGCATCTTCTCCGGCGAGCTCTGGATGGCCATGGCCGTCAGCGAGATGTAGGAGTAGGGCGGCTTCTGGTCGCTGTACGTGTTCCTGCCCGGGCGAGGCATCTTCGCTGGGGACCCGCCGAGATCTGCGGAGGGGCGAGCGGGGTAAGGCAGGGGGCAGGCGGGCTACGCTTTAAAGCTGGCCTGGGTGTGTGTGTGTGTGTGTGTGTGTGTGCGTGCGGGGGGGGGAGGGAGGGGAAGGGCAGGCGTGTGAGGCACTAATAAGAGACAGATCGGAGTTGATCTCCCAGGGGTAAAAACACCCAAACCCCTCCAGCCCCTGGAGGGAAAGCGATCCGCCCCTCTCCCGAGCTAGCCACCGCGCTCAGCCGCCAAGTGACTTCAGCTGTTTCTCTGCCGGCTGGGGACCCCCTTGCAGCAGGGCAGAGAAGGGGCTGGGGACCCCACCGCCCGGCGCAGGGCAGGGAAGGGGCTGGGAGGGGACCCCCCTGGAGCAGGGCAGAGAAGGGGCTGGGAGGGGACCCTCCCCGCCAGCAATGCCCACCTTAAAGTTGCTGGAAGTTGACAGTCCGCATCCGGGATGCAGCTGCGAGTCTGGTCTCCTTGCCCGATCCCTCCCGGTTCTCACGCTCCCTTTCCGGCCGCTCCGCTTAGTTTTAGTCCGAGGCGGCAGGGAGCTGGCTGGTCTGTGGGAATCCTCTCGCTCCCCTCCCTTCTCCTCGGAAGGCGGAATCAGGGATCGGGTTATTTCACCCCCAGCGGCAACTGGAACGGAGCAGGGGCTCGCTGGCTTCTCTGCAGCCGAGATGAGCTAAGTACTTGCCTCCATGTCCTTCCTCTAACCATCTGATAGTTTTATGTGGTGACATGAGCAGAAAAGACCCCTGTAGAGGCGCTTCATTAATGTGCCACTTCTTTGCTATCATATGACAATCGCCTTGGGAGGAGGGAGAGGGGGAGGAGGGTGGGCTGAAAGAAAGACATAATCTGGTTTCATTTACACCTATTTACATGGACACCTTGGGCCAATAGGAATCATTTCCATTTGAAGACAAGGCGAGGGGTGAAAAGGCTCAGCAACCGGAATTGAAGTGTGATGGCACCCAGTAACAGTGTGCGTGCGAAGGTATGCACTAACCTTTCTGTGGACTTTGCCAGGGAGCTTAGTCTGCAATTCACACTTACAAATGGAGCTGCTGAGCAGTGGGATGTTTGACATGGAAATTGCTTGGCTGGGGTATTCTGTTTGTTCTGCATTGTTATCTGATTTGTATTGTTGGCTAACTCAAGGCAAGGCTTTTTCCTTTAACGAGAGACTTTCTCTTTGCCAAATCAAACGGAGCCCAAGCCTGGTTTCTAAAGGGTTAGGCTGATGAAAATGCGGTGTTGGGGTCCTACTCAACAAACATGTCGAAGTTTTCATTACTCCGTGAGCTACTTCCCCTGAAATTTAGAAAGGAGTGTTTGTCTTGTTACCACCAACGTTTTGGTCTTAACAAAGTTGTGGTCATATTGAAAAGAAAACACCATGGGTTATTTTAGATATTGGAGAGTCTGATTTATGTAAATTGCCTCTCAGTTTGATTTCAGACCTGTGGCAATTTTACTGGATCCCAGGCGATACAAGTAACAGCTGTGACTGTAAAAACAATGTTTAATCATAGTTCCTGTTCTAACCAGGCAAACATCAGATTATACCTTCACACCAATGTATGCAGGACTGTTTAAGAATTGGATTATTTATCCCCTCTACCTTGTTAACATGTTAAATATGGTTTAATCTCCAAGCTAGCACAACGCGAAGTGTTCTGTAATGGAAACATGCATTTAGAGATAAATAATGTGCTGATGTCTGTGTGCATTGTGCGTGTATATGTTTATACACACAAGTGTATGTGGATGTATATATTCACACACACAAACACACAATGTGTTATTCAAATCTTAATAATTACGTTACAGTATGTTGCATGGTCCCGTCTATTAAGGGCCCGATCCTGGAAACTGTACTCAGGTATGCAGTTGCATTGAAGTCCACGGGGGAACTCAGGACATTAATGCTGCAAGATCAGGCCCAAAAGAATGTCTAGGCGCCTGTCATAGGTTAAGGAAGTTGTATATAATGTATGTCACCTCTGAGCAATGATAAAAGATGGACACTGTAGGTGCAAGCCATGGGCTATGTGAGAAAGATCCTTTGTGGTGTAAAACACACACATCCCACACACATATTTCGGAGCTGGTCAATAACTCACCAAAACGTAACTTAAACACGAGGAATTTAGGAGATTAAACAATGTCATTAATATTGAAATGGTTGCAGAGTCTGAGCGCGCCCGCTTGAGATGCAAGCGCACGTTTTTCAATATTAACAGAAGTACTTGAAGAAAAGAAAAATGTCACCTTCTTAATTCAGCACAAATAAGTGAGGGGGGAGGGGGAGCGCCTGCTGTCCGTCTGTCTGCACGCTGCGATCTGCTGAGTGATGCTCTTTACTACATGGGAATGACTAATCCTGAGACCGGTGGAAAGTTACCGCCGAGCAAGCCTCCCTGAATACTTGCAAGAGTTGTTGAACCCTCATTTCATGCTACAACTGGACGCAAAGCGTTTAAATTTGTGCTCCCCCAGTTCAAGTCGGGCTGGACGAGTTCCCTTCTCTGGAAGCCGACGAGAGAATAATGTAAAAGTAGTTGTATTTCTAGGGGTCCAAGGAGTGTAATATTTCCTTACTTTAAAAAAAAGCCAGCTGTCCTATCCCTCCCTACAGAAGACTCTTTGTGGGGAACTCAGGGACGGGCTGTTCAGAGTCAATATTCTTAGTGTTCTCAACACTTAACCCGTCTTGTTTCATTAACAAACTATGAGCTCTTCAATGGCTCCTTTAAATTGCGGGGGGGAAGACTCCCAAGCTCCAAACTTTTTTTGGAGTGGGAGGAGATGTAATGATGAATGTTCGCTAGAGTTTTGGAGAAACTGCCCTGTGAAATGAGCCAAAACTCCTCCTCTAGCCCCTTGGGACAACCAAGGAGAATTCCTGTCTTCCCCCTCCCCCTAGTTTCCAAAACCATTTTTTTATTCTTCTTATTACAATCCAGGGTTTGGTTTTGTCCCAGAGGGACACTGTCAAAATCATTACTCCGAGGAAACATCGGACTAATTAAAAACACGAATCCAAAGGGGACAAATAGTTTTGCCCGATCCCCTTTTCCCCATAAACCTATAAAGATCCAGAAAAATCGATTTCTGCTATCACGTGTTGCTCCGAGTACAAATGATGTATGTTTTTGAGTGGCCCGATTTTTTTAAGGGTAAAGGGATCTCACAGGAGACGAGGTAAGGGGTAGGCGAGCGATCTCCTTAATTAATACAGAAGTTTTGTCCCATGTTCAGTGTCAAACAAATGCTAGACTTGGAAGAGACGCCCGCGCCCCCCCGCCCCAAAATGAAGGATTTAAGTGTAATTTACAGAGTGTGCGTTTCTCGTTTAAAACCAACATTCGGGAAGGGGGAGGAGGGCGAGAGAGGCTGGTTGCAAAGTGAATCAATGCCCATTGTGCGGAAAACCAAAACAAACAGACGCTTTTTTGAAGCCTAATTCAAATAAGGAGCGGAGGGGAAGTGTTGGGAAAACTGTATAAAATACACATAAGTCAATTATATCAATGTGCAAACCCAATGGAAATCTATTTCGTGCAATAGCCATTCACTGTTTCCATGAAGCCCACCCTGGACCACCTTTCTGCATGGAAGGTTCGCAATAGCCTCCTTTCCCACAAGCAGGACCACACACGTTTCCCGATTTGGTAATAATTTATGCTAATTTTCCTCCATAAATCCACAATTCGCTTCAGTGGCAAGCAGGGCTGTTGAGAGAGAAAAAGGAGACAGAAAAGTGACAAATACAATATTGATTTTGAAACCTTCTGTTTGCAGGCAGGTGTGTTGCTTGCAGAGAAAGGGTGGGGGAAGCGAAGAACTTTTCCTAGAATAAAAAAGAGAAAAGTCCACACTGCGAGAGAATAGCTCACACAACCTTGTTAATATTTACAAAACAGTGGGGACAAGTGGGGATGGGGGAAGAGAAGTACCGGCTTCTTAGGGTTTCCTAGGTTGCTAAACACAATCCCAGGCTCTAAACAAGCTTCCCCGGTTTGGAAAGTCAACTCCAGGCTGATGGTTGTGCATGCATTTTAGCTAAGCCTGGCGCAGTTTTTTTTTTTTTTTTTTTTTTTTTTTTTACATTCTCTCTCTCTTTGCTTACAGGGGGCTGGAAGGGGAGGGAAGAGGAAGCTCCTGGATTTCGGTTTAGCTGTTTGCTTTAATTCCAGATTTGGAGTTTACTAAAGCGATCTTGCAGCCTCTGGGAACTGGGGCGCTACGTGCACCGGGGGTTTTGTCCCACCAGACATTCCTTACCAATTCTGCCACTTTGGTGGCGTGAAACTACTTAGCTTTCTTTCAAAAGGATTGCGTTCCCTTCCTATTCAGCACTAAACAAACTCCCCCTGCCTGTCAACGGCGAATTAAAAATTGTTCTTGTGAAAGTCCTAGAATCTATATTTGCAATAACAAAATAACGGTGTAGGCTTTTGCAATGTAAATGGTGCCAGGACTCGGCTGAGGCATACGTTTGCTCTCGTCCTTTCCAAGTGTATTTTAATTAGCTGAACAATGCGACCGGCAGAGCCTCGTGTACTGGCTTTGATGGAATCCTCTTACACCTACAGGCTACGCTTTCCAGTGTTTGCAAGTATCTGAGCAAAGCCACTCAAACAGGTTCCCACAGTCAAAGGTAAAGGGCCTGTTCCTTAACCATTTATTCGTGCCAATAGTAGCGATTACTCCTGTGAGTAGGAACCGCAGGTTCCCCTCCCCCAATAAAATGCCAATAAGCAATACAAATGATGGGCCCGATCCTCCAGCCATTGAAGCCAGCACCGCCCCCCCATTGACTTCAATGGCAGCAGGATCTGGCTCCGCCTACAAAGAAAGTGAAGGGCCCATTATGTGCTTTCTGAACTCTCTGCTTTAAAGCTTGAGTTAACAATGTCCATTGCCCAGGTTTCTGCGCAGCATCCGGGCGTTTTGTTTGTTTGTTT